CAATCAAAATCTCGTCATTCGGCAGTAATGGTCTTCTCCCCCCTTCCGAAGTGGACCGTATAATAGACTCGGCTAAAAGCTCGGCAAATAGGCGGCTATTATCGAAAAGGTGTGCCCCACCGGCCTGACACTCGGAAAGGGCCGTCGGAGGGAACGCAACGGAGAGAACGAAAATTAAAGGAAACAGATTCGCCGGGGCGGGAGGGAAAGGGACTCTAAACTGATTGGAAGCGACGCGGAGATGGCGATGATGAGAAGAAAGGGGTGTGAGATAATTTAATTTTCGCAGGCAGGCGCAGGCAGTTACTGTCAAGAATTTTCGAGGGGACAAAGTGCGCGGGAAAACGAGCAGCCGGCCAAAGTTTGGAAGCTACAAACATATACCCACGTTTGCGAAAATAAATCCGTTGGTGGTAATTAATTGCGTCGAAATGCTTCGGGGTGAGTTTGGGGTTCGGAAACGTTAAGCGAATCAATGCACTCTCGTTGAAAGAACAGAGGTCGCTCTCGGGAAACCAAAGGTAAAAAAAAAAAAAATCGTGTTCCTTCATCAAAGGGTGGACGGACAAGCGATGAAATTAAAATCCCCTTTTATTACGGGGGGGGGGGGAGAAAGAAAAGAGATAAGGGTAGGCAATTTTCCGAGAGAAAACATCGAAAAGCTCTCCTGCTCGTTGAAGAGGAGCAAGAGGAATCCAAAGGAAGGAAGCCGGAAAAATCGAGGGTTGGGAGAGAAGGAAACAGAGAGGCGGACCACAAAAGAAAGCCGGCACGCTTGGGGCACGTAAAAAAAAGGAGGGTGGGGTGAAGGTCCGAAGGGTCTCTGCTCGGCCGTGAAAGAGCGAATTTTAATTCGCTGGAGAAGGAAGCGAAAGTGTACCTTCGTATCGAGAAAGTAAGAAGGCAAGAAGGCCGAAACGCACGTGTAGCGCACATGATGTAACTTGTTATTAAATACTCGGACCGGACGGAAATAACGAGTTCCCTCGTGTCTCCCCCTCCCCCCTCCCACCGATGTCGTCGTCGTACATTTTTCTTGGCAATTTAAGTTTTGCGCGTGACGTGCACTCGTTATTTCCATCCCTTCCTTTTCTTTTTCCCCCAGCAGCCAGGGGGGAGGCTGCGCAAGAATGACGATGTATAGCGCGTTATACATATTTATTAGATTCGCCCAGGAATCTCCGAGCGCGCCTTTTTTACTTCTCCGCTGATTCCTTCGGGTGGAGTTTATCAAATTGCAAACTGCGCGAATGACTTTTACTGCGATTCGCCGCTTCTCCCGAAAAATATGCTTTACACACGGATGGGCTTTGAAATCGAGATCCAACGCGTTACCAGATGATCTCGGCACGACGCACGTGTGCGAGTATAATTGAACGAGTCCCCGGGCTAGGGGGAGTTTGGCTTTGTCGTTGTATAATGTACGCAATATGGGGCTGGTGGTGCTAATCACAAAACATTTACAAGATAGGTTCGGTTAATTGTGAACAAACATTTACACCGTGTTTAAATCGCGTAACGAGAGGTCCATACTTTCCACGTGCAAAGAAAATCCCACGCGCTTCCGGAAAAAATACAGTGGCAAGGGTGGAGCGCGAAAATTTCATCGTCCACTTTTCACTGAAAATACCTCGAGACGTTCGAAAACAGACGGACGATATCGTGGTACTTTTACCTCTCTCAAGCGTACGAAAAAAAAAAAAAAAAAAAAAACAGAGGCTTGCCTGCACGCAAGAGTGGACCGGAAGGGACAAACAGAAGTGGGGGGGGGGGAGAGAAAGAGAGGAAAAAGTGCGTCCAGAATGGATTCTTAATGCCACGAATTCCCGGATAGATGCTTCACGCACGAGATCACATCGTCTCGTATTTCTTTATTTCTTTCTCCTCCTGCCGGGCCCAGCGCCATACCGGAGTATAGCCGGGAGGCTGGTTGTTTCTTTCCTTCTCGTGCATTTTCTCGGTTTCCATTCTCGATTGGTTGGCTGGCTCTTTTTCCTTTTCTTTTTTTTTTTTTTTTTTTTTTTTTTTATCTCTCCTGACCCTCGATACGAATGCAGCCCAGGTCGAGGGTGCCTCGATTAGCTTGGGATACGCGCAGAGAGAGAGATCATGTGCGGCCACGAGAATTGGTTTTTTGCGTACTCCCGTCGCTCGTAACTGGAGTGGTTCTTTGTTTGCTAATGGATTTACCGATCTAATGATGTTTCTGGGTTTTTCTTTTCTTTTTTTTTTTTCTTTTTAGGTTAATACAGGGGACTGAAATTCCGGGTTTATCCGAGGCCATTGATACGTGTTTACCGTAAAGTGTGTCTTTACATATACTTTTTCCAAGCTCGAGGACACTTTGAGGCGCAAGAGGTAAGCTCTAAATTGGACATCGAATGATACTTTCCAAAATTTTCGCTCAATTGTTTATCCTTGTCACCATCGTACAACCAATGAAAATTAGACAACAATTCGCCACAATCGCCAAAAAAAAAAGTCTCTCATTGCCACAGCAACAGTTAAAACAATAGCCACTGCGCCCCTTCGTTCTTCGCGCGAATCAACAAAGACGCCGTATGCCGGCATAAATCAAACGAGCCAAGCACTCACGCTCCCCGCCCTTAATTATATAAACACGCGTAGAAACAAACGTACACACACCCCTTCGATCAACCCCCAAATCCGGGTGCCTCCGTAGCCAGTGCATCTCAATGTATACGGTCAACATTGATCCCTCCGCCAAAACAGCTGCTCCCCGACTTTGGTGCACATAAATACAGTCTCGGTAGTCAAGGGGGTTGAGGGAGAAGCTCCCTTTGGGGAGCCCAGCGAGCGAATAAGGAGCTGTAACGGGACTCTCCCCGTTTGGCGCGCCCCGGCCAATTAGGGAAACGATCGTCGCCAGGGGGTAGAGACGAGCCGGAGGAAAAAAAAAATACTACCGCATCGGGGTATTATGGCCCACCGGTGGTGAAAACATTTTTCTCGTTCGCAGCGGTGGTGGTGGTGGTGCGCGCACGTATAGAACGGGCATATGTATATACGTCGAGGGTTTTCTCGGTAAAGTGATGTTGTTGTTATGTTACTGCGCACTCGGGTTCGCTTTCGCCGAGAAAAGTGGCCGGATCCAGGTCGAGGCACGGATTCTTTCCTCCTTTTATACTTTTCTAGGTGATACAGAGATTACGTTCTCATGTAACACAGCAGGGGGGGGGAGGGAGGAGGCAATGATTAATTCTTTTTTTTTTTTTTTTTTTTGTACACGTACATACGTCTTGGATATACCTCCCGCGAAGTTTACGTTTCCTCTCTTAGCCAGTGCGACGAGTTGGTTTACGGTAAAGAGATAAAATTGTCCCCGTAACAGCTCGTTATGACCCTTACCAACGATGATTCGGAATATACTTTAATGGATGGAAATTGCCAAAATTAAATCTTACGAAAACTCTCTCTCATCGTTCAAATGAAATACCATACAAACACAGTGCACACCGAGGAATAAACACGCGTGAGCGCTCGTGCAGTCAAATCGCCGTAAACAATAGCCAAGGTATAGGAAAGCCAATCAGCGCTCCGAGCTGATAAAACATTGGCAGTCGAGACCATAGCAGCGCGTCGACGCGCCCAGAGAGCGAGAGCTGGTGACGAGAGAGTGCGATTACACATCCCCAGTGGTGTATGTACGTATATACGTGTCACGCGGAATCACTCGCGAGGCCAGCTATTCATGCCTGTTGTAGTAATAACAACACTTACTCGCGCGTTTTAGTTAATAGAGTGCAAAGTCCAGAACTGCCGGGATAAATCGACTCGCGAGCAGTAGAGGCTGCAGTTCGCGATAGTAATTGTCGAGCGGCGAAAGTTTCATTGTCCGTCTTCTCGCGCTCGTGCGCTCGTGTGTATTTGCGCGTGGATTAGAGGAGTAAAAGAGATCATCGTTGGGCAAGAGCCGAGCATGCGGAGACTCGATAGGGCCTAATGAAAAAATTATCACCAGCTCCGCGTGAGCCTTACGGATAATCGATGTTGGCAAGGCTATTACGCGTGCCATGTACACCCCGTTGTTTTTACAACCATTTGCCCGGGATGGAAAAACACGGGTATTTATATTTCAGTCATGCCTTGGTGTTTTGTTGGGTCAAAGTAAATATAAACAAGACATTCTACGGGACGAGCGTGCTCGCAAGGACTATCGGAACAAAAGAGCCCTTCCAAAGTGGAACAACGGGGTATACTTGGTACGAGGGAAAAAGTCTGACATGGGAAAGGGTACAGGACTGTACTTTGAGGGTCCTTGAAATATTTCGCAATTCGAAAAGTTTGCCTGACTACTTCGCAGACTGAGTTTTTGTCTTTGGATATTTTTTTNGGCATAATGTTCTACTCTACTTGATGTCAAAAACGTTTTTAATTCAATTCATCGAATCAAGTACATAATATATACTTGAAGAAACGATTTTTGCTCTTGCGAATCGTTTAAAAATAAATCACCTTTTTCTCGGGTCACAGGAACAGCGTTCAGAGAAAGCAACGGATCCTTAGCTCCTCTCTTTATCAATTAAAAAAAAAAAAAAAAAAAAAAAAGTACGCGATAACTACCCCGCCAATGGCTTTTTATTCAATCGTATGCATAAAAGAACATGCAAATTCCGGCGACCGCGCCACCGCACTTGTTGGGTAAATATAGAAAAAAAAAGAAGCCCCACGAGTGAATGGAAATCTGAAAAATACACCGTGCACAATGGCCATTGCCCCGAGCATAAGGGTCGCGCGCGTGAAATATCGCCCGGATTTGCATGCCATTCCCGTCCGAGAAAACTTTTCGCCGATGAAAGATTCAGTGGGTCGGCTCTTTGAGGATACACGTACACTGCACCTCCATTAACCTGCAGCACGTAAGCACCCGTGTTGTTACCCTCTACTACTTACGCGCAATCTCGCCAATAACCCAAATGCAAGTACCGTAGAAACGACGAGTCCCCGAGTAGTACAGGTAAACGCACGGTCAGACTCACCGAGGCAGGTCGCCCCGTCAGCAGCTTCCACCGAGGCCGCTCCAATATCACAGCCACGAGCCTCGCTCCTTCGCATCATCCACCACTCTATCCTTGGCCCCGCGCACTCAAACTTTGGTAAGACGTGCCGATGGGTCCCACGAACTTTCAACAGCCGTACCCACGAACGATACGGCCCGACGCACTATTTTTCGCTTGTCACCCTCGAGTCGAACAAGCAACCGAAACACCCCCTATCCCGCGCACTGTCAACATCATCAACGTACCATGATCATCGATGACCAATAGCTCCGGGTCGTCGATCGTTGGTAAATAAACCGAGCGAGGTATAGATATAGCGAGAGAACCTCGGCTCGCGGTGCACACGGCGGTACTGAGCAGCGGGCCTCCCCAGCATCTCTATACTCTCTTGCAGCCCCCTCCCCGTTCGGCCGGGAGATCTCTCTCTCTCTCTCTCTGTTCTGGGGACGGGGAGGCTGTGGTGGTGGGATGGCGGTAGTGCGCAGCCTCCAGAGAGTCGGTGGTACGCATTTGTACGCAGCGTGTGCGCGGGGCAGAGTTGGGGGGGTGGCAGGCGAGGGTTGCAGGTGCACGCAGTGCAGGGGATACCGGATGTACGGGGAAAGAGAACTGGCTCATGCAAATGGGAAGGGGGTTGTATAGGACAGGTAGAGAAAAAGACGGGCTTTTCATGCGTACAGGGGGGGGGGGTTAAGGAGAGGTCAGACGAACCGGGAGAGGGGTGGTGAAGCAGGTTGAGGGCTTTCTTGGCAAAGGATGACGATAATGAATCGATAAAGAGATGTAATAGGTGTTGATAGGTGCAAGTGAATGTTAAGGGATACCAGAACTCGGGAGAGCATTGAATTAAGGGGGGGAAAAGAAATTGGCGATGGTAAACCGATAGTAATCGATCGATGGTGGGAAAGAGTATTGCCCGCTAAGGGAACTAATCCACGAACGGAAGATTATATAGTTGTAGAGGCGAAAAAAAAGGGAGACTCGCGGAAACTTTGAACAAAGTCAAAGGATATAATTATATGTATACATACACGGGCCGAGAAAAGAAGAGAAGAAGAAAAACAAAAAAAACAAGCAAAAGAATGGATCAGCGGGGGGTTGGGGTGGAAAGAAACGGAGACAGATGTATCGCTGAGCGAGAAAGGGGAAAGATAATGGAGGAGAACGAGGTAAGAGCTGCGAGAGGCAAAAGTATGTGTGTGTGTGTGTGTGTGTGTGTGTTTGCTCGCCGTGCATCTACTGTTGTGTGGGTGTATACTTGGTTGGTAGTGCAGCGATTGAAGAGCTAGCCGTTGACGCGCTAAGCAAGTATTATTGTGGCCTAAGGTTTTCCGTGGCTGTACGTGTTGAGACAATTTTCACCTTTTTTTGTTTTCGTCATCGCCACAGTTTGTACGTATCGACGTGCCCACGGGTTCCAACGCGAGATAATGTAAATGGTTGCTCTTCAATTAGCGCTACACGCAAAATCACGTTGCAGGGGTATCTGTATTTACGCCCAGTGACAAAAGCTCAAGCTAGCAAGCTCCTGGGAATCGACGCTCAATGGAAGGAACTGAGAAAATCAAGGGAAAGGAGAAGGAGGGAAGGTGTGGCGCTCGTGTACGGATGATTAATCGGTCCCTGGTTGTACGTACCGTATTATACACAGCCGGTGGATGAAGAGACGCGAATTAGCGAGCAAGCCCTAGTCCAAAGCAACGCGAGCGAACGTTTCCACCCGTACCACTCGCATACGGGGCACGTCGGCCCCAGTTCCGCGCTCATATTACACTTTCTTCCGGCCAACTCTCACCCCCACCCCCCTCTAATTTTCTTCACCCTATCGGGTTACCCCCCCGCCCCCCTCCATACGCTCCCTCTAATGCTTCTCCCGTTGTTGTTATTATTCTTCCCTTTAGCACACTATCTCTCTCTCTCTTCCCCCCTCTTTTTTTTCCCTGTCATCCTTTATTTGCACTCCTTGGTCCCTTCTTTCGTACATCCTCCCCACGTGCTTTTCATCTAATAGTTGTCGCGCCGGCGGACAGCTCGCCTTTCACGCTCGGGCCGGAGTGGCGCTAACTTTTGGTCCCGTTCTCGGGCGCCTGATACACCTACCCCTGAAAGCACCTCCATCGAAACCACCGAAACTCACCCCCCCCTCTCCTGCCCCTTCCCTTCTCTCTTCGCTTTGACAGGCGCCTCGTCGCGTAAATTTTAACGGAGCTGCCACGACTGCTGGCTCAACTTTTGTCGTCGATTTTACGAGCGACGCGCTCATTAGCCGAAATTTCCTCAAGAGCGTATACACACGCGACCAGATAAACCACTTTGCGCGGCCTCGTTGACTTTTTTCTTGTTTGGTTTACACGACATCGGAAAATGCAAAGGACTCCGTGTATATATAATTTTCTCGCAAATCGGTGTTAATTAAAATTTACCTCCGCTCAGACACCGCGTAGGTACCACTCACACAAGTAGCAGTTGGCATGCAGGTTTCGTTCGGCAAACTAAATCGTCGTGTATAATATATATATACGCATACATTCTCAATGGAGCATTGCATTTGCTGGGATTTATATATATATGTAGAGCAAGTTGTGCACACGCCCAGCGCGTTGAGTAGCCCCGGCAGCCTGTCCGGAAAGTTTTGCCCCTTCGTACGTAGATGTATACTGTATGACGTGCAAGTACTGCTCGGTGTTATTTACGAAATGGTTGTAATTACCTACCACTCGACCTCCGACTCTGGGCTTGGGTGTTTCATGTTTGCATTTTTTTTTTTTTTGTTTTTGTTTATTTATTTCTGATCGTGCATTTAATTGAAATAAACGAGGTTGTTATAATTTATTATAAATTCCGATACAATTGTAATTTATTATGCACAAAATGGACGTATTGCATCAAAATAACGCGTAAATCTAGTCGACGGGAGCAACGAAATACTCGAGTTTTTCAATTTTCTCAATATACATATTTGAACGTCATGCAAAGCAAAGGAAAAAAAAAAAAAAAAAAAAAAAAAAAAAAAAAAAAAAAAGAAAAAAAAAACCCAGAGAATGACCGCAGACGGCAACAACCAAGCATCGATATGATCCCGATCGATGCACCGTCGATTCCACCCTGCACAATAGCCATCTAGCTCTCCGAGATCCGCCGCTCCCAGTGCCCCCCCACCCCCACAATCCAGACTTGGTTTCCGACTCGTCACGTGGCCTCGAAACGGATGTTTCCTTGCTCGCTGACTCTTCCTCCTTTCGCCCCATCCTCCACGCACGCGTACACACGCACACGAGAGCATCGGCCAAGAGCGGGAGAGATAGATATCCAGCTGGGATGGATGGATAGATGGATGGCGCACCCGTAGCGCTCTCGAGAGCCGGGGTTGGGGGTGGTTGGGGGATCGTAATTACGAGAATTGAGTGCCATTAAGGCAGCATCTGCAAGCTGAATAGCAGCGCGGCTGGTGTAGGTGTACGAGTGCGTACAGTGGAGAGGGTCCCGGATTTTCCATCGCTGATGAGGGGAAAAGCGCTCGGATGCACCTCCTTTTCGCCCACTCCACGGATAGGTTGTGTATATCCTCTTATACCCTTTCTTTCTCTCCGCGTGTACGAGTACATATGCAGGGTTGGAGGGGCGAGGGAGCCAGACGCGCTCTCTTCGGGAGATCTGTGGGGTGTCGATGGGTGATAATCACGCGAGAGAGGAAAAACCGGGTGCGACGCTCGCTCGAGAGATGTGACGTGCTCCCGGGTGATATAATGCGTTTCGAGGTCTCTTCTTTGCCGAGATGTTGTGGCTGAGTGGACGAGGAGTTCTGATCAAACAAGTGTTAGTTGTTTTTTTTTTTCATGAGTTGCCGAGTAACCGAAGAATCACCTCTCACCACATTTTCGTATCATACAGACTCTCGCACTTCCAGCTTGATTGATGTATAAATATATATAGCTCTATGGTATCTCCAATTACCAAATAAAACACACGACCTCTTCGTCTTCTTCGCGAACGCAAATGAAGATGGAGAGCAATAAGTAATAATTATTTATCATTTGGAGGAAAACTTGGGACTGTACCTCCTCGGGAAACGCGGAAACTCCGAGACGCCGTTTGCGAAACTAACCCAATCAATCTCATTAGTAGGGACGCAAACACTGCGCGCCAAAGAAGCTCCTGCCTCACCGTGTATATATACCTATAGGATTGCAGAAACTCGCAAACGAGCAATATGTATCTTGGAAATCGGCAAAAAGACCCTGTTCCCTTTACAGGTGTGTGTGTGTGTGTGTGTGTGTGTGTGTGTGTGTGTATAAACTTTTCTCCTCCAACTGCTGGTCTTCCTCGACATCATCGGGTCGATTCGATGGAAAGGCCCACAGTGCAACCAAAAGTATGGCGGCCCGAGGGGTAGATAAGAAAAAATAAGTTACCCACGACCAGAGATAGTATAAAGAGAGTTAAATCGACAGTGGCGAACAAGTCGTCGAAGAAAAAGGACGTGTCCCTTCCCAGAGAGGCTCTCGAAAAGTTTCTCCAGCCGGCACCTAATTAACGGAGTTTCGGCTAATCCGCGGCGAACGGGGAGGAAGCCCCGCACACGAGCGATACAGCCGAGGAGTGGATCGGCCGCCGCAAGCAGATGAGAACTTGCCTGACAGATCAAACGATAGCTTTGCCTCAAAGGACGGCGCTTCCCACGGTGTGTCTGTTGCCGCTGGACTTGCGGTATCGGGAGGCGATGCTTCCCGTTTGTACTTCCCCTTTGGGTTGACCGTGTACAGACACGGGGAACGAGGACTTTGCAGATAATGCCAGCTAAAAGTTTTAAGTCGGAGGTTTTATAGGTGGGGATGAGGCTTCGTTAAGGAATCGGGCTCTACCGATGGGGGAGGGGACGACTTTTTTTTTTCAATTAGGGTCAGCCGGTCATTGGGGCTCTTCTAGGCTGTCTCGTCTCGTTGCATTTTTGGTGGAATGGCTTCGATGGAAAACCAGTTGGATTCTTCTTTCCAAGTTGCATCGTTGCACGTTTTGAAGTTGCAGGGCAGTCCGAAGGATCATTCGCCGGTAGATTGTCTGGGACTCGTCAAGAGCAGGTACCTCAAATTCCCGGGGGGGCGTGAAGTCCCGAGAAATCCGTGATCGGCGTTGGGTAGGAAGGAAGGAAAAAAAAAGGATGTC